GAAAAGTTGTTAGATTTTATGAAAATTAATTTAGTATGTGATAAATGTTTGGTAAGCACTCACTAGTTGTTTTTCAGATTTTATTTCACATTTATTGTCCAATTTGATGGTTGATGAGTAATAATGTAGAACTCATTGATTTTTTTTTTTATCTTTTATATCTCAGTTGTCCCACTACATCATCATAGTTTTTTCTCGCTCACGTATCCTCACATTTAATGTGTAGTACAATCCATGACCATTTATAAAAGGTTAACTTGCACCAATGGTCCTTGAAGATTGCCACTTGTTGCACTTTCATTCCTAAACTTCTAATTTTGTCAATTTCGTAATCAATGTTTACACATTGACCCACTTTAATCCTTATCCCTAACTTCTGNATGCCTCTGATGATTTATACGACTTGACAAAAATGTTAATTGCTTCTGTAGCGCTTATTTTTCCACCAAGTCCTTGTTCAATATCCTGATGTCAATGGCCAATTGTTTCTCAAAATATCTCTTGGTCAATTATCTATACCATAAAGACCTAGTAGTTGTTTCTCATATTGAACTAAAATAGTACTTACAGTATCGAAGTCTTTGTTGACAGTTCTAAGGTAGTGATCAGATGGGTTTCTCATATCTGGACATGGGAAGCCATTCAAAACAAAAAACTGCACCAAATNCAGCATCGAAGTCTTTGTTGACAGTTCTAAGGTAGTGATCAGATGGGTTTCTCATAGCTGGACATGGGAAGCCATTCAAAACAAAAAACTGCACCAAGTTGACCATAAAGTATTAACTGCTCCATAAGTTCATTGAATTATATATTTATCTCAAACAATTTACAAGAACAGAATCTGAAAGGTGATCCTTGATTTTGCATGCATACTCAAGGAAGCTATAATTTTACCTCATTTGCTGCTGAAGTGGAGCCAAAATAGACGGTTCTACCAGAGGAGAGAAGGCAAAGATTCTGGAAAAGCTCAAAAACTTCACTACTCGGTTGATGGATAGATGCAATGATTGTCCTTCTGTCTTGTTGGGCAAGTCTGATAATTCGGTTCATGACATGGTAAGACGCTGCACTGTCAAGGCCACTAGTAGGCTCATCTAGGAAGAGAAGCTTTGGGCGCGTCAAGATTTCAATGCAAATGCTAACTCTTCTCTTTTGTCCACCGCTAAGTCCTTTCACACTCCACCCTCCAATTCTTGTGTCCATGGCGTCTTGCAATCCCATCTCTCTAATTGTTGCATCAGCTCTCTCCTTCTTCTCGTATTTTGACATGGAATCAGGAAGTTGGAGTTGAGCTGAGTAGTATACAGCTTCTCTTACTGTTAATGTAGTCATTAGAGTATCATCTTGTGTCACATAGGCCTATATCAGGTTAAGCCAAAAGGACTTGGTTAGAATAGAAGATTATAGGTGTGCAATGTCAAGGAATCAACCTCAAATTCTCTCTGCAGTAAACCTGTCTATTGTGATTAAAAAATTGTTGTGTTTACTGTTAAAATATCTTTTCCAAGTGATCCCCCAAAAAGCAGTAAAAAATCGTATGTTCACCTCACATTTTCTGAGGAGGAGGGTGTAGTTACCTGAGATAAGGCCTAAATCCACATTTATTATATAGTCATAGGAGTTTGAGCGATGGTAAATGCTCATTCACCCTACCGCTACACTTCGAGATTGGGTTCAAGGATCAGTATCACCTTGCAACCCATTATACAAGGGGAGCAATGTGCACTTGATGCGATTATATACCATGTAACCCATGGATCAGAAATGTTATACACTACCCATTTTTTGTTTCATTTTCAGAGGACTTAGGAAAGTCAAGATTCTTTAATCATGTTCACTACTAATATTAGATACACACACATATTCTAAATATGTAGCAAAACATATGCTTCGAATTTGTGAAATTCTTCGACAGACATCTTTTTTAGAGTTAATTGTACCAACGGTTCCCGAGATTTATCACTTATTATACTTTTGTCTATAAACTTTTAATTTTGTCAATTTCATCGTCCTTGTTCACACATTGGTCCATACACCTAACTTCCATCCAAAACACTAACTTCCATCCAAAACACCAAGGAAAACGTCATGTGCTTACCAGGGTATTAAGGGACATTTTGGTTATTATACTCCAAAAACAAGTGGGCATTCGTGTACAAATAAAATAGTCTCACAAAAAAAATATTACGCCCATCTCTCTCTCTTCTCCAATCCCATCTCTCTCTCTTCTCCAACGCACCTCCCTCTCTTCGGCCAGCGACCACCCAGCTCTCCCTTTGCGCAAGACTTCTCAGCTGGAATCGAGCGTCACCATCCACCACCGATGGAATCGAGCGTCACCATCCACCACCGATGGAATCGAGCGCCACCACCCACCACCGCTGGAATCGAGAGCCACCACCCACAGCCGTTGGAATCAAGCTCCACCATCCACCAC